TCCTACATCACCATCATCATCCAGATGGCCAACGTGGGGCCGCTCTTTGTCACCCTCATGCACCGCTTTCGACCCGGCTTGCTGAAGGAGGTGGCCGTTATCTATGTGATCTTGTCCACGGGTGTTGTGGCCTGCTTGCTCCTGGCCTTCCTCTGGAACTACACGACCACCATCGCCGGGAAGCCCCACAGCACCGCCTTCCTGCTCCTCACCTTCTTTCTGGCCCTGGTGGACTGCACCTCCTCTGTCACCTTCTTGCCCTTCATGATGCAGCTGCAGCCCCAGTACCTGACCACCTTCTTCACAGGTGAAGGGCTCAGCGGGCTGATCCCTGCTCTCATCGCCCTGGGCCAGGGCTCCAGCATCTCCAGCTGCGTCAACATCACCCACTTGGTCAACGTCACCATCGGCAACGAGACCATGGAGACCACCGTCTTCCAGCTGAAGACCCGCTACCTCCCGGCCAACTTCTCCACCCTCCTCTTCTTCCTCCTCCTGACTGCAATGATGCTGGCCTGCTTGCTGGCCTTCTTCTTCCTCACCAGGAAGCCCAAGGTGTGGGAGCTCTCCCAGCAGCAGCTGTTTCCCAGCAGCATCATGCTGAGCTCATTTGACCAGATCCCTGACGAGGGAGCTGGCTCGCGGCTGAGCAGAGGCTGCCGATGCCCGAAGGATGCCAATGGCATCCCGCCAGAGAAGGTCTCCTACTCCCTGGCCAAGCTCACCTTCATCTCCCTCCTCATCGCTTGGGTCAGCGCTCTGACGAACGGGGTCCTGCCGTCTGTGCAGTCCTACTCCTGCCTGCCCTACGGCAACATCGCCTACCACCTCGCTGCCACGCTGAGCTCCATGGCCAACCCCCTCGCCTGCATCGTGGCCATGGTCCTGCCCGGCAGGTGGGTAATGGGATGCTGGGGGCCATGGTGGGGTGCGCCCCGGGGGCTTCTGCCCTAGGAATAGCCCCTGCTTTGCAATGGGGTGGGGGGAGAGGGTCCTCAGGGTGCTGGTGCCCTGGCAGCAGGGGCACCCCAGGAAAGGAGGATGGGGTCCACATGGAGCCGGTTAGCCCGTGCCACGGGGTCTGTGCCGCTCGCTGGGGCTGGGCTGGCAGCGCTCCCTGGTGTCACCCACGTGTCCCTTGCAGGTCCCTGGCCCTGCTGAGCACCCTCACCATGGTGGGGACAGGCTTTGGCGCCTACAACATGGCTGTCGCGGTGAT